GCCCACTCTGGCCAGTTTCCCTTCTAGGATTCCTGCCTCGAGGTGCGCATTGTGTTCTTATGTTCCGTGCTCAGGTGTGGTGCTCCAGTTCTTCACTTGACCTTGACTTCTCTATTTGATCCATCCCCTCCCCTCTCCTCTCCACTCTCTCCCTTTGCAGCTCACGTTCCCCTTGCCCACGTCTTGCTTCCTGGCTCTCCTAGTTTTCTCTCTCTCTCTCTGACTCTTCCCGCATTTCTCCCCATGGAGTCCTCCTTCCCTTCCCCAATTGTTCTTGTCCTCATAAAATTTCTACTAACCTAATTTCCTGTTTGGTTTTTGCTTCTGGCACTTGGTTCTAACTGACCTCCAGACTCTTTTCTCCATTTATTCTGAATAGAACAAATTGGTGATGATAATGGCACAGATGCTATTTCAGCAAAGAAAGGAATAAAGAAGGAGAGGATGTCTTTGAAGGGACTGGCAGGTCGGCTGTGGAAGGAAGGAGGGACAGCACTGAGTTCATCACGGAGAATACCCTGTCCTTTAATGGAGCTTCAGAGAATTTGCGAGCATATGATGAGCATCTGGAACTGTTCCTTCCAGAAAATAATATATCAGAAGGCAGAAAAATAATTATGTTTCCCTCAATGATCCCAGCAAAGATGTTTGCTCTCCTAAAGGACCTCAAGGCACTCATAAAACTAGGAAAACTGAGTTAAGTGTTTTTTATTAAACCATTAAGAGATTTTATTCATCCAAGATAAATGTCTTCACTGAAGGATACAGAGTTTGATAGTATAGAAAATACACAGATGAAAACTTGTCTGAATAAATTAGACTGATGCATTTGGCATTTAGGGCTCCTAGTGACTGATTCCCTTCTTCAGCCTCAACCTGCCAACCAAAGAAATATTCTCTAATGCTGGACTCACTGAGTCCAAGGTTGGGGGGGGCGGTGTGGGAAGCAGGCATGAGAGATCTTGACAGCACTGGAAGTTTCCCAAACCGTAAATGGCTTTGCGGACTAAGGCGGAGGTAGCAAGGAATCCATTTTCTTTCCTCCATAGCCAAGGACTCCCAGATCCCTGTGGTCTCATCCACTTCGCCAGCCTCAGGGAGGCTGAGTGACAGACCAAGGAGACCAGAACATTGGCAATGAGGAAGGGCAGGCAGAAATGCAAAACTCACATCCAATTTCAGGGCACTCAAATCTCTGGTCTGCCATGAAATACACGAGGGTGTAGACTCAGAGAAGACATATTTAAAGATACTTATACCCAGCTTTCCTGTCACACCTGCCAGATCCTTTGTAATCCTAGAACAGATCCTTCTGGGGACATCACAACTCTTCCCTTAGCTCTTTTCCCACTTTTCCAAAATGGAAAAAGTACTGGCTCTGAGAATCTTCTGTGCCAAGGGATTTAGTATAATAATTGTTATTTATAAAGAATAAAACTGAGCCAGGGGCTTCCCTGGTGGCGCAGTGGTTGAGAGTCCGCCTGCCGATGCAGGGGACACGGGTTCGAGCCCCGGTCCGGGAAGATCCCACATGCCGCGGAGCAGCTGGGCCCACGGGCCATGGCCTCTGAGCCTGCGCGTCCGGAGCCTGTGCTCTGCAACGGGAGAGACCACAACGGTGAGAGGCCCAGGTACCGCAAAAAAAAAAAAAAATACTGAGCCAGGCACTGTGAGCTTGCAATGACTCAGACTTAATAATATTAATAGCTAACGTTTATTGGGTATTTACCATGTGCCAGACACCATGACAAGCATTTCACATACAATTTCTTATTTTGTCCTCACAATGGCTCTAGAAGGACCATGCTGTCATTCCCACCCTTCTGATGAGTTATCCAGGTTTCATAAGGCGACTTAACCTACCCAAGGTCACTCGAAGGCACACCCATTTGAAGATCTTCCCAGCATCCTTTTCCTTGTGGAAGTGACTAGCTTCCTCCTGGGAACTGCTCTTTCTCTTGCCCTCCATCCTACCCATGTGGCTCCTGAGGGAGCTGCCATGGTTTCTTGTGACTCTCCCCCCTGCCGATCATACCCTCCCCAAGGCATTTTCAAATCTGGGAAGAGCAAGCACGATCAGTCTGAAGTTCTAATGTGTGATGGTATCCACACTTCCTGGCACAGGACCTGGGGGAGCAAGCAGAGAGTCGCTGCTAGGAGAGAGTTGGGAATGACGCACATGCTCCCAGAGCACACTGACAGCCTTTAAGTCCTTGGCATCATTTGCTCCCGAGGCCCAATTCCTGTTCTTGGGTTCCACCGGCCACCCCAGGGTGCTTATAATAAAGACTCTCCTTTGCTTTAGCTACTTCATATTGGTCTCAGGAAAGCAGTGCAGTGTAGTGGACACATGCGTGGGCTTTGGAGTCGGACAGCCTAAGCATAACCCCAAATCCATTAATTTCTGGTTGTGTGATCTCGAGAAAGTTGCTCACTGCCTCGTGCCTCCACTTCATCTGAAAAATGGGGATAATAATAGTACCTACTGCTGAAGGTTTTCTGATGATTATAATGCAGATAAAGTACTTAGCACTGAGCCTGGCATGGGGTGATCTTCAAAAAAACAAAATAGTGATCTTTATTTTAAATACAAATTTTAATTGTGACTTTAGTTATTATCATTAACATTATTTCTCCTGATCATTGTAGAATCACAGGTTCTGGTTAAGGTTTTCTGATGGCACTTGGGATTTCGAGCTGACCAGCCAAATTTCCACAAATTTCCAGAAATGCTCCTTGTGGAAAGGGTGGAGTTGGGCGTGTGGACGGCTGTAAATAGTCCCATGAGGGCCTTGTGTGAGGGCATTTAGCTGGTGCTTTTCTGCAGCCCTGGGGGCGGTTCCAAAGAGAAGAGCTAATAATACCTTCAGGAGACTTCTGTGCACAGGCCACCATTCTGTGCACACTGTGAGGTGGGGGTGAGGAAAGCAGAGAGTCAGATTGATTTTTAAAAGGCTGAACCTCCAGGCTGTTTTAAGAAGCAGCCAGCAGATGAGAGATCTATAAACTCTGGGAACATGCAGTGCATCTCTGTGAGTGGTGCTGGGAGATGGATTAGGCATTGAGGAGTACTTTGCAGAACAAAGAAGTATTCATATGATGTCAGAATTTGAAAATTCCCAGAAGAGTTTCTTATGGGCAAAGTTGGGTGGGGAGAGAAGGGTGGAGAATGAAATTAAATTTCTTAAATGGATCACCGCTGAGGATTAAATGCTGGTTGGAAGAAAGTGCTAGAAGCCAGATGTGATTTGGGAATGCAGTGAGGGGCAGTGGAGGGCAAGAGATTCAATACAATCCTGTCTGGTTTTTCTGCTGGACTGGGAAATTGGTTTAAGGGGAGCTGGGCAGGGTATCCTCAGAGACCCTGGAAAGTTGGGCAGATTTGTTACTGGGTCCAGCTTCAAATGCTTCCCAGGCAACTCTCTCCAAGAGAGTCACTTGGGTGAGAGCACTGATTATTGATCCCCAGCTGCCACCAAAGCTTTAGCACGGTCCAGTGCACATGCCACTCAAGGAAATGCGAGAAGATGAAACTCCCAGAATTCTCCTGCTATCACAAAAAGCTGGCAGATTACACGAGGGATGGGAAATGAGAAGGAAATGTTATTTGCTGGCCCCAGAAGAGTGGATGGGGCAAGGTTTGTGGGGTGGGTGGAGAGGGAAGGGTGCCTGCTCTCTAAGGAAAGGCCAAAAAGGATGGAAATCTGGGGGTAAAGGCATAGGAATCTGAGCACAAAAGAATGTTGAGAGTTGATGGGATTTGAACCTGCAAGTGAATTTAAAGTCTACCAGGAATCGTAAGATAAAAGTCACCCAATGTAGTACTGAACGTATTACAGCCCTAGAACTTCAACTCCCTGAGGACCTTATTCATTTATTTGTTGGCATCTTCACACACATTTTATTTATTTATTTATTTTTTCATTGACTATATTCCCTGTGCTGTACATTACATCCCGGTAACTTATTTATTTTATAACTGGAAGTTTGTATCTCTTAATCCCCTTCACCTACTTCACTCAATCCCCTATCCCCCTTCCCCTCTGGCAAACACCCATTTGTCAGGAATGAGACTTTACATATGTGAATTTTCTATGCAATTATATTATTCCTTTGAGTACTGATCCTTTTTTTAATGTTATTCACACACATTTTAGATTCCTGTCAACACTATGAGGGTGAAGGGAGGTGATAGGATTATCCTGAATATATGGACAAGTGGAGCCATCCCAGAAAAGTTGAGTGACCCAGGGTTACCCAAGATAAGCCAGAAACAGCCCAGACTCTCTTGAATTCCAACCCAAAGTCCTTCCCTTCCACCTTCCTCACAAAGGCCAGGTCCACTTCTGAGTAATTCATGTGGTTCCCAGGGACTCTGCCATCCCACACAAAGGATGCCTGTTGCACCCCACAGGTGGAGGTCAGATGGGGTCATAGCTGCCATCCTTGCTGGGGAAAAGCTGGGGATTTCTATTCTCCTTCAGAGTTTGTGCAGAATGTGCTTGTCCCAACTTCATGTAAATCATGGTTGCTGAGCCAAGCTGAAGTGTTGGCATTTGTTTAGGAGGGGCTAAGATGGGAGTAGAGATGGTGCCTTCTTGGGGAGACCATGTAACCTCATTCCCTGCCCTGTAGTTGCATCATCCTGGGAGACCCGGATGCATGGAAGCTCAGGGTTACTTGTTAATTATTTGATGTTGTGAACATTCATAAAGGACCGCTGATCATGGACTAAGTGGCCGCTGTGCTTGACTATGTTTAGTTTTTAATCACACTTACCATTCAGAGTCTGATCATTTTATTTGTCTAAGAACTTTACATCTATCATCACTTGTATTTTTCAAAAAGTTGAAATCATACATATATTCATATATATATATATACATTTCTAACTTCAACCAAAAGAACTATACATTTTCAATCCTCAATATGAGTTTCTTATAAACATAATACATTCAAATATTAATTTATTTCCTATTCTTTTCATGATATCATTCTAGAATTTCATCTCCTGACTCTGCACCTACTCACCAGTGAGGGAGACTGAACTATGATCATTTACTCCTTTTCACAAATGAGAAAGCAGAACCCCAGAGTGGTAAAGTAATTGCTTCAGGATCATACAGGTTAGTGGACCTACCCAGACCTCTTGAGTTTAAATAATACACTTTCTACCATGGCGTAAACATAGATGTAATTCTGTCTAAATGTCCAGGTCCAGATTTTAAACCATAAACTTTTTGATAGTTGGTTCCATGAATTATTTAAAAGTTGCATAAAGGAAGGTCACTCATTGTGGGCCAAGGGACATTGTTGGCAATCAGATGAGGGGCGTGAATTCAGGCCTCCCAGTAACCATCTTCGGAACCAAGTTGGTTTTCTTGCTCAATGGACAGATTTCATCAAATCGGGGGTGGGGTGTAGGGAGAGCATTATTTGAGGGGTTTTTCTCTGTGGAGAGAGCCCAAGTTTCTTTTATCTGTTGCTTTTGAATATTGCATGTGCTGCTGTCATTTACCAAGAGTCATTTGATGATCAGATTGCACGTCTTCCTTGTTTAGAGAGTTCCGCAGATGGATCGGCAGTTGCTCCCATACAGCTGTGCAAATCTGGCGTGCAGGTGTGTTTTCTGATAGGCGACTTGCTTATAAAATGATTTCTTCTGGGAACAAAAACAAGAAATTGCCTAAGGCCTTAGACAAAACTGTCCATGAGCTGGGGCACTGATTTGTTTCTAACAGCGGTTTTCTGAGGAGGACCGTTTGGTCAAGATGATGAGATACACGTGCTGAAACACTGTGGGTGGTCACAGAATTTCCATCCCCAAAGGCAGGCGTGTGCCAAGGCCTGAGCTGCTTTCTGGGGCTTAAGACGGTCTGGGGGGTGAGTGCTTTAGTCCGACTGCTCCCATGAAGATTTATGGATAAAATAACATGACTGATTGGAATTTCTTAAAAAAAAAAAATCCCATGTGGGTGTGGGGATGTTTGGGGAGTGAGGGTTATGGATGGAACAAGAGAGGTGGAGAGTTGGTGGTTTTCATAGCTGAGTGATTGGCACATAGGGCTCTTTATTTTGACAACTCTCTTTATTTTTATGAATTTAAAAAATTTTCTATAATAAAAAGTTAAAAAACAAAATCTGTTCCTACATATGGGCCCTCAGAAGTTCAATTCATATCATGAGGCTTTTTATAAATTCCAGGGAGTGGATGCCTGTTGGAGTGCTGGAATGGACACAGGCAGTGTTAGGAGCGGGAGATGGATGGACGGTCACTCACAGAGCAAGGGGGACAGGAGCATAAGAGAGAGGCTGAGACGGGGAAGAAAAGGGCAAGGGAGGGGGAGAGAGAGAGGGGAAGAATGGACGTGGCATACTTCCCGGGTGACATGTTATTCTCCACTGCTCCCCTCCCCCCATCTGAAAGCAGGAGCCTCATTCTCATCACCGTAGCTGGCCCCCGCTTCCCCAGACACTTGCCAATCTCTCCAAGGAAGGGAGCTGGGAGTTCCACAGAGCCTATAAATATGACCAGAAAAGGGGCTGGTAGAAATCAAATATCTACTAAAGCCACATTCTGTCAGAGACCAACCCTAATCTCTAAGGTGTAACCCCAGGAAGGGAGAAAGGTGAAAGGGAACAGAGAGGTGACAGAGTAAACACAAAACCAAGGCCGTGTTAGAAGTGTTCCTCTTCTAACGCTTATCTGGCCTGGCCATCGACCTGCTTATGCAACAGGCAGGTGCCAGGAAGACATGAGCCTGTGTGACTCTGGCGTCAGAAGGAGCCTGGCCCCTCTCTGGCTGATACCCCGCTGGGAGCAGCTGGCCCCGCTCTCACCCACCAGGCAAAGGCCATGGCTGGCTTTCACAAGCTTAATGGAAGAAGTGATGGCTACCTTTCCAGCCAGGGCAGCCCCCTCTGGACCCTTCCAAAACCACCTGAACTAAGCATGTGAATGACCCTTTTCCCCTTGTCAGCTCCCAGTTGGGTTCCAGGGTTAGCCTCCCTCCTTCCTTACTGGAGAAGACATGCTTGGGGTTCAGGCCCTGGCGCCAAACCATGGGGGCCGGGGCAGCCAGTGCCTGGCAGGAGGTGAGAGCATTTGCTGTCCTCCAGGGGTTCCATATGGCTGCGTGGCCACAAATAGCTACACCAGCTTGAAGGAGACGCCCACTCCTCTGAAACCTGCTCCACACACTTGAGTCAGATACACACTGTTCCCTCCCTCCATCCTGACAGGATGAGATTCAGCACAGCCCAGGGGACATACAGCCTCTCTTCTAGGAGGCTTGCCTGCTAATCTCAGTATTTCTTGGTCACCAGCAGATCTCCCTGCCTCTCCCTCCCTCCTTCCTCTGGGTCTGGGCCTCCTCCTCCTAATTCCTTCTCCTCCACCCACCACCCGCCTCCCTCTGCCCCTCCCTCCAGCCCGCCCTCTCCTCCCTCCACACAGCTGGGCTCTCCAGGGATACAGCTGTTTGGACTGCAGTTCTATGGGCACAGGTGGCACTGGCAGATGCAAGTTCTTTCCATTCATGTGGGCAAACAGTAAACTTTATATTAAAATATTTATCACCAGGGTCTCTGCCTGAATGTTAGTTGGGGTGGGAGCTAATTCCTTGTCCCCGGTGAGCCCAACAGTGTGACTAGAGCTGCAGCATCAGGGTAGTCAGGAAAGGGCAGCCTCAGTGGAAAAGCATGGGTTTTGCATTTGCTTTGGGGGAGGAGAGACGGTGGAGCTTTCTGGCCAGACAGACAGCCTGTGGGCCTGGGGAGGACGGTTTTGATAGGCGTCACTGCCGCTGAGCACCGGCTGACTGGCTGGGATGCCTGGGCAGACCTGCAGAACAAGCAGGTATCTGATACTGGGCTCCTGGAACCTGTTTATCACCTTTGTATTTATCTGTCTGGCTGTGTACTGAATGCTAAAAAGTCCCGGGAACCTTTAAACACCCACTGGTGATCCATTTGCTCTCTGGTGTTAAGGATTACATGCCGTGGATCTGCTCCACCTTTGCCATTGAAACCAATGTATCCTAATGGGTCTGGAAAAAGTGCCTCAGTGATATCAGACAGAGGGAAACCTAGCTTCTTTCTAAAGGACAGATTATTGCAGGTCCAGGCACACTGTTCCCAGTGTCTAAACATTTCAGCAAGTTCTTGCCTGTAATGTATCTAAATCCCTCCTCCTTCGGAGGAGTTGAAAACTGGTGGGACATGGTGCTCCAGGTGCAATCTCTTCCTGGCTTTGACACTCTTAGGTCACGTTCACTCCTGCAGGCATGGCTACATGCATCCTTCCTTCCTTTCTCACCCTTGCACATGTTCATTTATTCAATGTGTGTTTGTGGATTGCCGGCTCAGTGACACACACTGGACCAGGCCTGGGGAAGATAAGTCGTGCAGAGAGAGACAAATACATCACATACTGTGCTAATTAGTCAGGTTAAAGAGCTATCAGATCCCACAGGAGGAAGTGACAACATCGCCTAGAACAGATGACATTCTAAGTGATATTTGAGTAGAAATAAAATTTCATAAGATGAAATACTTATCCAGCACTTACTGAATACAAAGTACTCTTTGGAACACTTTCCAGACATTAATGTAATTTTTGTGCATGGCCACTCTATTTGGTTAGTACTATTATTATCCCCATTTTATAAAGGGAAGAACTGAGGCACAGGATAAATGACTTGGCTAAGAATCACACTGGTAAGTGTGAGCTTGGATTTGAGGGCAGGCAGGCTGGCTTTTAACCATTTTACCATGTACCTCTGGATTAACGCAAGATATTTGGGGAACCCGTGAATGACTCAGTATAGCTGGAGTCTATCAATTATGTGTAAGAGGAGTGGTTGTCAAGCTGGAGATGGAGTTGGGCCAGACTGTAAAGGGCCTCACATGTTGAGATCTCATCCTATAGAAAATGGGGAGCCAATGGAAACTATTTTCTATCAAATAACCCTAGTCCCTCCAGACTCAGCATAGTTCTTACTTGTCAACTCTCAGTGGCTCTTGGCTGAATCCTTTGCACACTTTCCACACTCCTCACTGGGGAAGCCCTCTATGATGCATGGCTCTAGACAGTCCTGATCACCCGAGGGTCTACTCTTTTTGATGCACCCAAGAATGGCACTTATCCCTGTAGCAGTCAGCTTGAGCTGCCAGAACCGAATATCACAGACTGGGTGGCTTAAATGACAGAAGTTTACTTTCTCCCAGCTCTGGAGACTGAAAGTTCAACATCAAGGTGCCAGCCTGGTTGCTTTCGGAGAGACCTCTCCCTTTGGGTTGTAGATGGCCACCTTCTCGATGTGTGCTCACATGACTCCCTCTTGGTGTGAGCAGGGGAGGGAGAGTGGTACACACAAGCTCTTTATTGTCTCCTCTCATAAGGGCACTAATCTTCTCATGAGGACCCTCATGACCTCATCTAACACATATAATCTCCCAAAGGCCCCATCTCCTAATGCCATCACATTGGGGGTTGGGGCTTCAACATATGAATTTTGGGGGGCCACATTCAGTGCATAACATCCATGGAGGACCCAGACCCATTACCTGCCTCATCCAGTTGAGGAAAAGCACTAAGTTGCTGAAGCAAAGGCTAGCAAACTCCTGAATGGCCTGCAATTTCCCTGCTTATCAACTGCCCTCCCCCTTCTTCTTCCTCTTCTGCTCCCCCTCCCTCCCTCTCCTTCTCCTCCCCCTCCTTCTCTCTCTCTCTCTCTCTCTCTCTCTCTCTCTCTCTCTTCCCCTCCCTCCCTCTCTCACACACATATAAAGACGTTTGATTTTCAGTTAAGCAATCATATAAGCAAATGTCCTCTCATCATTCTCTATGCAGGTCAAGGTAATCTCCTCAGTTAGTTCTTCTGAACCTCCTTTCTGTTTAACCCCCTCAGCACCCACAAATGTTACTAAAGATTTGTTGTCTGCCTCCCTGGCTGGACTATGAACTCCTCAAGTGCAAGGATCCTATCATATTCATATTTTTAGTGGTAGTGCCTGCACAGCACCTGGCTCATCATAAGTGCTGTTTGGATATTTATTGAGTGAATGAGTGAAGGTATGCTTAGGCCACAAAGATGTGAAAGATGATCCCTGCTATCCAGGAGCTTAGACTCATTGGAAGTGGAATTGGGAACACAGTACTTCTGAGTCACTAAGGAGGATGCTCCCCAACACTGATTCAGGACCAAGCACTGGGGACCCCAGCCTGCTACCATCCCCATGACACATTCCATGACCACTATACGCTGGCTAACTGAACTCGTATATAGCGACCGTGTGATCATCACGACAGCATAGGTGCCATTATGCCTACTGTGACTCAGGACAAACATCGGGCATTTTACATAGGTAGTCATGTTAATCCTCACCCACCCAAACTGTGTCTTTTTAAAACTCATTCAGGAAAAAGAGCAGAATTAAGAAATCTTGCTAAAGTCCCTGAATATTACTTTGTGTCACTTCCCCAGATCCTGTCACTGTGCCACAGAGAGACACTGGATTATACTTCGGTAGGGAGTATGCTGGCTGATTGATTCCTGTGGCTGGTGTCTAACATCCTACCCTCCTGAAGGCATTTTGGAATTGATTTTAGGAAGTCTTCGTTGTTTTTCTACGTAGAGAAGCTTACCTTCTTGTACATCTTCCTCTTACTAAAATAGAAAGGCTCATCATTCTTATTTTGTGAGTATCTGACTCTCATGGATTCTTGTGTCTCTGTGCTATTTGTTTTGGTTTTGGCCGTGCCACACGGCATGTGGGATCTTAGTTCCCCGACCAGGGATGGAACCCGTTCCCCCTGCAGTGGAAGTGCCGAATCTTAACCACGGGACTGGCAGGGAAGCCCCTCTCTGTGCTATTTTAATACTCCGGGCTATATGTCACTGAGTCTGCTGAAGCCAGATCCATCTCACTTATTTAAAGACCTTTCGCCAGGTATTCCCTCGCTTCTCCTTGTTTTCCAACCCTGCCAATCTGTGTGGATGTACTACATATGTCTCTCTAATAACCTGGGTGGGAGCTCAGCACACACATGGCTCCTTATTCTGTGAAATAAGTAAAAATTAAAGTGCTGGCTGGCACACACTCTTCTTGGTGACTCGGGGCTGCCGTATGCAGGAGCTTCCCTGGCACTGTTTACCGACGTCTTTCATTTTCTGTCTTGCTGGGATCTGGGAATACTTTAAACACTCAGCTCGAGGTAGCACTTAGCATTTATTAACTACCAGTTCTGTGCCAGGCACCCGGCAAACACGTCCACATGCACAGTTTCAGCAAATTTCACCACCTGTGAGATGATTTCGTGAGGCCGTAAAAGCAGTCTCATTTTACCAACAAGAAACTGAGACTCAGAGTTGAAATGAAGGGGCTCAAGGTCTCCTAACTAGTCAAAGGAGGAACAGAGGTTTTAACCCAGCTTTTTAATTTTATTCACATCTGCACAGGGCTAAATGTGTTCTAGGTGCCATTCTAAACATCTTACAAATGTTAATGCATTTAATCCTTACAGCGACCCTTCGGGTAGTTACCATCTGACATTAAAGTGTGAGGAAACTAAGGCACAGAGGGGCTAAGTAACGTGCCTGCATTTATCCGGGTGGTAAACGGTGCAGCCACAGCCTCTGCTGCCTCTTAGAGTTCCTGGACTTTGGGTCATGCTTGCTCAGGCTCAGGGTTTTATTTATTTATTTAAAAAAATTTTTTTTTCAACTTCTTATTTTATATTGGAGCATAGCCAATTAACAATGTTGTGATAGTTTCAAGTGCACAGCAAAGCGACTCAGCAATACAATTACAGGTACCCATTCTCCCCCAGACTCCCCTCCCATCCAGACTGCCACATGACATCGAGGCTCAGGGTTTTAGAGGGGAAACTCCAATAGAACAAAGTCCACCAGAAGGACCTCCCTTTCCTAAACTTCTTAATTGTGACCCTAATTACACAGCTGCCTAGACTTTTCTCCTTTTCCTCCTTGGTTCCCTTCAAGAGACCTTCAGGGGGAAAAAACGTGCTTAAAATCTAATTTTCAGGCCGCACGCTTGACAGCCAACCCGTACTCGCCTCTCCCTCCGCCTTGCCTCGGTTTCAGGCCTGTGGGAACGGAAGGTACTAACTTCCGGGAACCATGGGCTCCTCCGCTTGCCTGGTCACCCTCTCCCTCACCATCAATTTCAGCAAATGTCATTAATTTGAAAGGCAAGGGACCAGGAAGAATGGATTTTGAATTAACTAGTTCACATCATCTGATGTCTTTACTGGAGCATGACAGGGTATCCAGTGAGCTGGGGAACAACTGCTTCCAATTGTTCATTCTCTTGGATAAACCGTATCTGCTTAACAAGGTTTTGCTATAAAGGGCGATCAAATAGGCATTTGTGTTTCACAGAGTTCTGAGCCTGAATCCTGATGCCTGCCTTGGGCAGCTGATAACGTGTGTGTGTGTGTGTGTGTGTGTGTGTGTGTGTGCGTGCGCGCATGCACGCGCGTGTGCGGGGGTGTCTTACGGAGGAACAGACTTCCACTTTATGTAAGAATACGTGCTCCTGGGGCTCACTCGTGTTCTCTGTCCTAGTCCCTCCTCAGTACCATTAGCTCATCCCTCTGAGTCTTCAGTGCACCAAAAACATGTGCACCCACCTCCACACATACAACTCTGTGAGAGCAGCTGCCTTGCTGCGGGCTACGCTTTCCATCACCCTCATTCGTGACAAGTTCTCGCTGACGGGATATGAGCCTGAGTCATGTGTGTCACTTCCAGGCCGAGCAGGGTATGTAGGATAAGTAGTCGTTCCCCCTCTCTTCTCCATCTGGGTCCAGAGAACCCTGAGGACGAAGGGCTGATGGAGCCATGAGATGGAAGAGCCTCAGACCCTCAGTCACCGTGAGGAGGAAAACTTTATGCTGATGGGGAACACACACCAGTTTGCAAGAGAGTGTGAAATAGGCTTCGGTAGTGGGGTGTCTGTTTGTTTCAGCAGCTCATGTTACCCTGACTTCTGTATCCTCTTCTGTCCTTCTATTCTTAAGTTTTTCTCCCTCATTAAGGCAGGGAACCTCCATGCCCTCGTTTGAATCTAAGCAGAGAAGGGATGTGGTCTCAGAGAAACCACCACGAGGGAGTGTATAGGTGCTGGTAAGCCAGCAGAGTGCGGGAGGAGGGGATGGAAATCCCAACTACATAAAAGTCATCCTCTGAGTAGTAACCTAAGTGAACTGCCTATCCGGTGCGGCCAATTACCATGCAGCACATGCAAATATTAGTATCATCTTCTATCAATAATATGGGCCGTAAGAACGTGGTTGTAGGTTGCATTTGATTATAGCATTAAACTCTGTGTGCCCAACCTTCTGTTGCTCATATTTGAGCCATACTTTATATAACACGGTCATTTGATCATAATTAAAAAGAAAAACAACAACAGAGGAAACATAAACCAGGGACAAAACCTATGAAAGCCAACATTCCGCTAGGCCCATACCTGGGACTCTGGCTCCTTTGAGGTTGAAACTATGCAGGGTCTCTCCGATCACATGTTTCATTTCTGTATTTTTGTTTTGTTTTTGTGGCTTATTTTTCCTTTCCAAATATATACAGAAGAGGCAGAAAAATATTTCTTTGGAGTAGAAAGGGGTAATGGCACTGTCCTCCCCTCCAATTAAAAATAACAAAGAAAAGCATGTCCCGTGAGTAATAATAATAATTACAGTAACCATAACTGACGTGTTTGAGTATATAATAGGGGCCTAGCATAGCTCTAAGAGCTACACTTGTCAAATGCAGGATGGTAGAGCCACGCTGTCACTGCAGGGATGTCCAAAGCTGAGGGGTGATGCTGACCCATCTTTTCCCTGATCCCTCGCCTGTCACCATTGTTTCCTCTGTGCCCCCAGCTGACGTTAAGACCTGGGTCTGTTTTGTATTCACTGACCCAGTTCACCTCCCTTCACACCCTCCCTTCTAGCAGCCCTCAAGCTCTGTGGCCCAGTCTCAGCTGGCGTGGCCTGCTTCCCTCACATCTCCATGGCCCGTGCTGTGAGGGGCTTCCTCCATGCTAGGCTATTTTGGGGAGAAATGAGCTAGCCAAGTAAATCACCCCTCATAATTGGTTAATCAAAGTGTCTCCCCTTCCATCCATCAGATGCTTTCAGTGTCCTGGTTAATGTGCCCTCAAAGTCCTTTTGGAGTGGGGTGATACAGATGGGTTAGGGTAAAGGAGGAACCCACAGTTTTTGCAGCGTCTCTTAGCAGGAAGTGTGCCTATCTTCTCTGCCCACCTCCCACTTCCATCCTCCCATCCTTACTCCCAGTCAATCCACTATTCCACAGTAGTGACATAACTACTATGACCATAATTTTAGAACTAAGGTTGAATTGGTTTGACAAACACAAATTATGGTGCAACACAACAGAACGGTTGAAAGTGAAAGCACTCCAGAAAATACGATACCTATAGTCATGGTCACCATGAGGATACCAGAGCCTTTTCTACCAACTGCAGAGAGATTTGACTGCACAAACGACTTGCCATGTGTCTCTCCTGTCCCCCATGTTGTGACAAGGCTTGCTCCATGACAGCTTCAACCTTACTGAGACTTGAACCAAATGGGAACAACAGCCCTGGTGGAGCTCAAAAGCTGCCTTCTTATCACCTGGGAGTCATGAAGGAGTCAGTATTTCCTGGAGGATTTGCGTGGGGGGGTAGTTTAGCTTCTGAGACGCACCAGCCACTTGGGCTTCTGGACATTGAATGTTGAGCTCAGAGAGTTGCAGGCAGGCTCTTTACTTGTCAAAGAGAAAGCTGAAAAGTGGAGCTCGGGCCTCACAAGTCACATTCTCCTCGGTTTCTATTTTCCTGGTGTGGATGTAGAATTTTTGAGTGGATTTGGGCTTGGGAGGGCCTCTGAAGCCCAGTGGCCCTGACCTAGCTGTAGACTCCATAAGCCCAGGAACCTGTAATAGATACAGGTGAATAGAAGTTGTGTGTTGACAACAAAGGATGCTGGGAGGTTGCAGAAAAGAACCAAAGCTACGCTGTTGCCAGGTGACCTTGGGGACGAGCATGCATTTGACTTCTGTACTTCTCTGCCCAACTCAGCCAGAGTTTGTTTTAAAACCAGAACCAGATGCTGCCCCTGAGATCAGCCTCAGGGCTGAAAATAAATTAGGAAAAGAGGGTTCCATGCAGGGAGGCAGCAGGGCAAGGAAGGCAGCATGCCCTAGAAAAGCCTGATTAAGACCATGGCACACAAGGGGAGTCGCCCTGTTCAAAGGGGCTGGACAGAAGAAGCATGGGGCGGAAGGATGTCTAGCCCTTTGCCTGGCTTTCCCATTTTAGCAGTTATGAGGCCAGCTAAATGAGGTCTTGGCAAAGAAATAGTTGTCCAGTGCTGATGGGCGAGGAAGAAAAGCAGAGCCAGGCAGACTGGTGATGGGCTTGTGTTCTGGTGTGTAAGGCAGGATTCCAAGGTGAACTCCAACATTCCTGTCCTCTGGTGCAGTGAATGCTGGGAACCTCTGGGAAAGGGAATTCTGGGGTGCTCTGTTCAGACACCCCTCTTCAGGGCAGACACATTGAACCCCCATGCTGGGAATATTGGCTGCTAAAGGCTCACAGTCCCTCCCTGAGCATTGCCCTGGGCTACAGGGAACTTCCAGACCCAAGGCTCC